CCCTGGACCGGCCGGTGGGTCTTCCCCATAAAGTGCTGCACGTCGACACCAAACTGGGGTCTCTGATGGCGTATCCGGGGGCATCCCCGCAAAATCTTGTGCTCTGCGCGCACGGGAGTTACTCAGTTTGCAGCTGCGACGTGTTTGCTCCGGAGGAAAAACCGTAACACTGATAAACCGGCCCCCCGCGTTGGGCTCCTTCGGGTGCTTGTTCTGCCCCACGTTGCAGGAAAATCTTTCCGAATGCTTTGCCTTCTGTGGCCCTTTCCTTTGGAGCTTGGGAGCCTTCTGCACACGTTCGTTAAGCTCTGTTGGAGGGGGATGGAAATACCGATTTTCTGTATTAACAGATAAGGGAAACTGAGGCTAGAATGTGCTGGCAGGTCTGACGCAGCCGGGGATAGCGGATGTGACCGACAGATCCTTGTTCTAAAATTGTAACTTACCTGAAATTTCTAATAAAATGAACAGTTCGTTACGTTTCTGTATCACCTCTTTTTCTGGAGACTCTGCGCTTCATGTTTCGTGTAGCTGAGACTCTCTCCTCTCTAGACATGGAACGCGAGTAGCGGCGTAGTCTGAAAAGGAAAAGGGGTGATGCCAAAGCATGTCACGTTTACTTGCAGCTTCTTTGAAGAAAAGATGTTGTAACCTGTAGCCGTGAAGCTTCTTGTTTTCCCTAAATCCTGTACGAATGCATCACTTTCCTGTTGTCTTGAAACGTAAGCGTTGGCCCTGTTTAACGCTGTTTCTCTGGCGTGGCTCAGCCGCGATTTGCTTTGGCTGGAGTTGCCCTTTTTTATTACATCCCTCTTGGTGAATATATATGGGTTTGCTTTTGGGGGGGTGGGGGGGGTGGGAAAGGGGGATAAAACACTTTTAATGAAAACTGCTTGGAACTGGTAAACTCATATTATTGTTACTTCCGCGCAGGGCCAGTTGAAGTGTCGGGATAACCAAGATTTGCAGTTAAATGTTGCCTGTGAGCTGTGCTGAAGTTACGCGATTGAGGAGTAAATTATTAGCGGCCGAGTCCTCTTCCCTCACTGCAGCACGTGGGGTGTTGTGTGGGGACGCCCGCTTACCCGGTGGTCTTGGCAGGATCAGGGCCTGGCTGATACCTCTATAATAGATGTTTGTCGTGTGGTTTTTGCATGTTGAAGAAAAAATAATCATGATTTAATCGTGGCGGAAACGCAGCTGGGCAGAGCGGAGCGTGGCAGCTGTTGAACAATGCCCAGCCACTGCACAAAGGTTCGGGGCAGCAGACTGCTGGAACTGTGTCCTATTGAAACTGCAGATTAAGTTACTGCAAACGCGCAGGATTGCTTCCCTCTGGGCCTGCAGTTCTGCTGCCAAATTGGTTTAATATAACAACTTGTTTGTGCGTGAAACACTTAGAACTGGAAGAGACGTAGTGGTGGAGAGTGAAAATAAATACCGTGGGGAAGGAGCCCGCGTGGAGTGTGGGAGGGAGGGATGGCTGCGTAGCCCGGGAGGCTTTGTCTGCTCTGCCTTGGGTGAAGCCCAGGCTTGGTGCTCTTCCTTAAATCTGCTCAGTGTCACACGCACCTCGGGGGCTCCTGGTGACCGGGACAGGTAGCTTGGATTGTTTCCTGATAAGAAACCTTGGCACTTGTATAGCTGGAAAACTGTGTGTTTAAGTTACCGTGAGGCATGGGTGACCCCAAAGTGCAAACTTTTGAGGTTTTGTGGGAAGCTGCGGGAGCAATCGCATTTGAAAACTTGCCTACAAACAAACACTGGGCGCTGATGGGAGCGGGAGCGGTGGCACGTGCGTCGAGCCATGGCGCGAAGGTGACGTTAGGGTCTCCATGCTCTCGGGGAAAGGTTTCTCAGCCTGGTTGAGGCCTCTGCTCATGGACTTTGACAAGAGACTCCCCAGGTCCTACGGGGCTGTCTGCTGATGCTGCTTCTGAGCTTTCCCCACTTTGTACGCCAGGTCTTGCTCTGTGCTGCCACGTTGGTGTTCACAAGCGATGTTTCAGATCATATACTGCAGGTCAGATTTTCTTGCTTGGGTTTTCTCGCCACTCTTACTCTCTCTGTCTGGGGCTCCTTCCCCTGTCCCGAGCGCCTGCCTGCAGCACCAGCACCTGGAGCAGACCCTGCTGCTTTTGGGGAAGGCATTGCAGTCTTGTTAACGAAATCCAAAAATGTGAAGTTTGCAATTATTGAGATTTCGGGGACTCAGAAGTAGCAAGTCCTGCCGAGTCCTGTGGGATGTGCCTGGCATCCCTCATGTCTGGGAGACAATAGGCAGGGTAAAACTACTTGGTGCTGATCCCGTTCTAACTATCCGGGTTGGGCTCTTCCCCTGAAGCCTGGTGTGAGGTTATAAAACTCCACTTGCTTTGGATGCTCCATGGCCTGAACTCTTACTTGGGATTTTTTTGCCTCAAGCAGTTACCTAACAACATTACTGGCTGTTATTCCTTGTTGACGTTTAGTTCACTTTTTTGGTAGTTTTTTCATCTAGAACATTCAGTAGAAGAAAACTTAGTATTTCCAGTTCTGGGGAATAATTGAAGCAAGCAAAAATGGGCAGTTCTACAAGAGCGGTATCTTTTTTTAAAACAATATCCCACAAACCTGGAGCGTTTTTTCTTCCCCTGCCCTGCTTTGAAGGCAAGAGAGGAGAAGGGGAAGTAGCTGATGTGTCTGAGGCTCTGAGATGTTCTGCTCTCAAAGTGAAGTTTCTTTAGAGCTTTTTTCCAAGCGTTCCTTGGTCCGGTTGATCGCCGTA